AAGCAAAAGAAATTTCAACATTTTAGTTTTGTTAATTTTTCTATTCTTTCGTGTATTCAGAATTTTATCTTATACACAGTCTGATAGATTCACAATGGCTGTTCAACGATGAAACAGACAGTAGTAATAATGATAGGAGATTGCATATTCGGTTTTTTCGTTGTGTTGCTTAATAATCATTGACTCCAACACGCACTGATGATACGTGGATGATTGCTGTGGAAAATTCGTGTAATGCCTTTGTTCGAATTGATGATCACATATCATTGTTCTCATGACCACAATTACAATAAGAAAAAAGCTTTCGTGGATTTATGAATATACTAATGCAGATACGTCGCCGAGCTCTGTATGACTATCCACTACTTTGATACCTTTGCGTCAATTTTCCATAGGTTTCGCTCTAGAGCTAAATGCAGGAATATCACTGAAAATATTGTACACTTCGCTCGATCTTTTTTGATTATGTGAGACGTTTTCGGAAAACCTTGGTTTTCTAAAAATCGCTTGGGATAACCTCTTTTTTGCTTGGTGGTACTAACTACCAAAGTCTGCTACACAACATTATTTACTACCTAATGTAAGTAATGTGTGAACAATGCAAAAGTCGAGCAAAATTTCTTTTGAAACATTTATACTTGGTTCGATGAACACATCAAGTTGGTTAAGAAAAAGTGATAATAAAATTTTATAAGGAAGACAAACTGGAAAAACTTGAAGGATCTAAATCGGAGAAATGATTAATTTATGAAAAGGATTGATTTTTATACCGCAGTGTTGTTTGAACTTTACATGTAGATTCGATGAACAGATTTCAGTTTATATCCTACGAGATTCTTCATAGATCTGTTCTATTGCAATCAAAACTATCTATATTACTTTGAAAAGCAATGTTTTGAATAACTTAAATTTTAGTTTTTTCTTTTTTTTCGTTTTATTTGTACTCGGTCAAGTGTGCATTCATAGCATAATTAAACGTACAGAAAAATAATAGAAAAAGTTGTTTGTGTTATGGTAAAAGATAGGCAACAAGTGCGGAAGAAACAAGATCCATTTTCCTCTCTTATTCAATTATTCAAATTTTCTTGTGGTTTTAGACGTGTGAGTATAGTCACTCTACTTCTAACCTATAACATTTTTGAGATTCATTTATTTTCGAATGAAGAATATAATTTCAGAAAAAAGTTACAAACAATTCTGAAATACTTCTGTACCTAGCTTTTACTTAAGCTGTTCGAATTGTTTAAATAGTGACTTTCAAAGGATGATACTGGATAAATTATATCACATTTGTTAGCACATTCGATGTGATCAACATTTTAGTTCCCTTTCTTTACGAATCTGAAAAAGAATAAAATTTAATTACTATTAACCAATGTATAATACTCTTGAAGAAAATTTGTTACCAAAATATGAAGATGGTCTGATAGACCCAATAAAATTTCCAAATCGATGACTTCGACAATTACGTTGTCTTTGACTGAACTTTATTTCAGTTGGCTTGGTGAACAAATTCGTCCCAGATAGAGTAGTCTAAAGGGTTCAAGTCGGGAGAATTCGGGGGCCAGTGATCTTTGTAATAAGTCCAGGAAAATGATCATTGCACCATTTTTGAGAAAGTTGGTGAATATGAGGCTTGGCACCGTCTTGCTGGAACGTCCAAACATCCCCAAACGCGTTATTTCCATACTTTAGAGCCACAGGAAGTACTTCATCGATATATCGTTGATGATTTACTGTGCCATTATCCAAAATAACCAAAGGAGTTACGTCTTCTGAACAAACGCTTAACCAAGCCATGACTTTTTGTGGAAATTGCTGGTTTTGTTTAACGCCGCCATTCTTATCAGCTTCGGCACGATTCACAGCCCAGACTTGATCGTTTTGACAGTTGTACATACCACTGAGATCAAACATTTTCTCGTCAGAAAAAAGAATTCTCAAAGATTGTTCTTTCGAAAAATTGTGGCGAACCCAATTTGCGAACGTGATTCGTTTAGCTTTTTGAGTGTCTGTGAGTAGTGGCTCGATTCTTTTCTTGTACGACATTAATCCTAAATCATTTTTCAAAATTCTCTGCACACTTCTTCTTGAAATTTTAAGTTCACTGATCAGTTTTCGAGTCTTGACGCGTTTCTTCCACTTTAAACGGTTTTTAACTTTTTTAATCGTATTTTTTGTTCGAATAATACGAGGTCGACCTGGAGACGTTGATAGTTCAATAGAGCCAGTCTCGGCGATCATTTTGCACCATTGAAAAACCTGACTACGACTAATGGCACCCTTCAAATCCCGAAATATCTTGCTGGGTGTTTCTCCATTTTGATGCTTGGAAAGTACCAATTTTTTGAGGTCTTTACTTTTCATGATTAAAAAATTTTTCGTAGAACAATCTGAAAAAAGCGAGTACATGGTTTTGTAGAGAATTGAATGGGGAATCTTTTGGAGAAAAAATTGGTCGATAAGATTGAAACTGACGGAGTTATAGGCAAAACAAACGAGTCCGGTTCTTTATGCGCCACCCGTTAGAATGTTTTTTCCTATGAAAAAAGTATGTCTATGTGCCTGTTTCTACTTTTATTAAATGTTGTACTTCAATTTTACTGATCAAAAAGTAAAAAAATGTATTTCAATATAAAAAACAATGATATCTAGTAAATTGTCTGTCAGAAGATAAATATCGGCAAACATTGGTTGGGACACATAGTATTCAGTAAATAAAGGAAAAAGATTTTTCATGTGACATATAACAATTGTTTTTTTCCTTTGACTGTTTGAATCATGTCCAAAAATTAATCGACCATCATGATCTGCCATTGTTATCATTATGGATGGACATCTTGAACTGGAATTAGAATAATTTGAATTTAGATTCCACATTAATTATTTCTAATTCAGGTATATTATGTAACGATGATATATCCATTATTTATCCTTCGAATTCTTCTTTCACATCTTGATTTCATTTTGCCATCATTAACATTTGATGAAAAAACGTTCATCTCTAACATTGAAATATTATTCGTCACTTTACTTGAAAAATGTTGAGATATGAAGAATGTAAGAGTGATGAACCAGTTATTTATAACCTAACACTAGAACAATTAAAATTATCAAACAAATTAAAAAAATTATGTGATACATTTAGATTGAATACATATAAAACAATTTCGCATTATAAGGACGATATTGAACCAATGGTAAAAACATTACGAATTTTATCTAAAGATACACCCATTTACATTTCAAGTGGTGATAAAGGTCGAGCAGTTGTCATTCTCGACAAAGCGGATTTTATTACGAAAATAGAATCAACTCTAAATGATACAAAGACGTTTAAAGAAAGAAAAATTGATCCAACATCAAAAAAAGAAGATATACTACAAGAAAAATTATTGAAATTGAACAAGTCGGGCTTTATCAGTGATGTCGAGTATAGATATGCTCGTCCTGTTGGCTCGCAACCAGGCAAGGCTTATGGATTACCAAAAATTCATACAAAAGATCTACCATTAGGTCCTATTATTGACCTGTGACACATTCAGTTATAAACTATCAAAAAGTTTAAGTAAAAAATTAGAGCATCTAGTTAAGTTTTGATATCATTATCAGACAGCTACTACTCTCTACATTCTGCAATAGTCATATACTCTCTGATTCTTAGAAGTGTAATAACTTTTCCTTTTCTTGACAAAATTGGTGCAACGAGTTTTTCCATAACCGTACTGTAAGCTATAACCTAATTTTATTCCACAACGTTTCAGGATGCTATTATGCACTGTTAATTGACACTGCAATATACTATTATCTGATAGTATTACTTGGTACTAAAACTTATTATGTTATAGGAAAACCACGAAAAGCAAAGTAATGAATTGTTTCTGCAAAATATTGTAGTGAGCACGACAATGATGAGAAAACTTTTACCGAAAAACTTCCACCTGTGTTCTCTCTCATATATATTTTTCATGACTATATTTCTGCATACATATTTAATCAAATGCAAGATCAAATCAAATTCAAAATTTTTTTGAGAAAGTAGTTTTAGTTTTTTCTTTAAAGCAAAAGAAATTTCAACATTTTAGTTTTGTTAATTTTTCTATTCTTTCGTGTATTCAGAATTTTATCTTATACACAGTCTGATAGATTCACAATGGCTGTTCAACGATGAAACAGACAGTAGTAACAATGATAGGAGATTGCATATTCGGTTTTTTCGTTGTGTTGCTTAATAATCATTGATTCCAACACGCACTGATGATACGTGGATGATTGCTGTGGAAAATTCGTGTAATGCCTTTGTTCGAATTGATGATCACATATCATTGTTCTCATGACCACAATTACAATAAGAAAAAAGCT